TCTCGGACTGCTTCAGGGATACGGTATGGGGGTTGCCGTAGGGGGTTCTGTCCGGGTGTCTCGACCTTGTGTACAGCTAGGGTAGTGTACCCGGGTTCTTGGGAGAACGTGGCCTGCTTCTCCCACAGTAATTGTCTTGCCTGTACCTTCTCTGCCGGGTTTAGTCGGTCCCCTAGCTGTACAAGACTAGTAAGGTCTGTCTGGGGGTCCCTCTCTAGCAAGTCAGGTAACGGTAAGTTCTCGGGGTCGTCAGTAGCTGGGGCACATACTGCCGCAACATCCTCTGGTCTCTCCTGATACTCCTTCAGCATGTTCACATGGAAGGATCGCTGAATCCTTTCATCTGAACAGCTGGCTATAAGGTAGGTAGTATCGCATACCTGAGCTAACACTTTATACGGGCCCTGCCAAGATGCTTGCATCTTGTTCGTCTTCACAGGCTTGAGTACCAGAACCTTCTGCCCAACCTGGAAGATCCGCTGTCGGGCACCCCGATCGTACCACCGTTTCTGTCTCCCCTGGGCCGCCTGGAGATTCTCCCTTACCATCAGGGACAGTTTCTCCATGCGGTCCCGGAGTTCCAGGACATATGGTACTATGGGGGTCCCTTCTTGCTCTGTCTCCCCCTCCCAGTGTCCTCTAATGAGATCTAGGGGTCCACGGACCCTTCTCCCATAGAGTAACTCAAAGGGGGAGAACCCAGTAGATTCCTGAGGCACCTCTCTGTATGCAAATAGCAGATGAGGCAGGAATCGCTCCCAGTCTCTGCAAGTGTCAGTAAAGGTCCTCAACATCTGTTTGAGGGTGCCATTAAATCGCTCGCAGAGACCGTTAGTCTGTGGGTGATAAGGTGAGCTAAGCAGAGGTTTAATACCGCACACCTTCCACAGCTGCTGGGTAAGCACCGCGGTGAACTGGGTTCCCTGATCGGAGAGGATCTCCTGAGGGAACCCGACCCTAGTGAAGATTTTAACCAGGGCATCAGCAACCGTCTCTGCCTCTATATTGGACAGCGCTACTGCCTCTGGGTAACGTGTGGCATAGTCCACCACGGTGAGAATATACTTCTTACCTGATGGACTAGCCCTGGCCAGTGGACCCACAATGTCAACGGCTATGCGGGAAAAGGGTTCTCCAATGATAGGCATCGACTGAAGCCTAGCTTTTGGGTGATCCCCCCGCTTACCTACCCGTTGACAGGTGTCACACGTGCTACAATAGACCCGCACATCTCGGTTAAAATTGGGCCAGAAGAAATTTTGCGTGATCCTATGAGCTGTGCGGCGGGAACCTAGATGGCCGGCTAATGGCACATCATGCCCAATCCGCAGAATCTCCTGCCGGTATTTTGCGGGCACCACTAGCTGTCGATTCTGCGGAGGGGTATTCGGCTTCTGGGGCGGTTTCGGGATCCTGTAGAGTCTATCCCCCACCCACTCGTAGTGCTCCCCATCTACTCCTTCTCCCCCAGAATCGGCCCTGGCCCTGTACTTTGCTAGCGTCGGGTCTTCCCTGGTTTCCTTCCCGTATATCTCTGGGGTATCCCAGCCTAAAGGGGCCTGGTCTAAGGTACAAGTCGGGGTAGAGAGTCTTACCTGGGTCTCAACAGCAGGTGGGCCGGTCTCGGCGGCACGGGTCTGGGCACGGGTCGTGACAGCGTCCACTTCAGCAGGACCCATGGGAGCGTAGGCGGAAACAAGGGGCGCCAAGTCATTGCCAAGGAGAACATCCGCTGGTAAGTCCTTCATGACCCCCACATTCACATGTCTAGCGCCCACTCCCCAATCCAAATGTACCCGGGCAACGGGCAGACGGAACACGGCACCTCCAGCTACTCGTACGGCGACCGTGTCCCCTGTATGTTGGGCTTCGGATACCAGGTGCTTCTGGAGCAATGTCATAGTTGCCCCGGTATCCCGTAGACCACTGACATCCTTCCCGTTTACTTTCATACACTGCCGGTGATGCTGTCGGTTATCCCGGTGGGCAGCCTGAACGGGGTCTGCCTCATGCAGGATGCCCCAGCACTCTTCTTCCTCTACACAGTGAGCGGCCGGGAGGGGAGGTCGGGGGTTGCCGCCTGCTGGTCTCCGCCAGGACTGGTTCTGGTTGGCGCTGTTCATCGGGCACTCGGGTCGCTTGTGCCCTAGTTGTTTGCACAGGTAGCACCGAATGGGTTGCGTGTACTCCCGTGCATTAAACCTAGGTGGCTGTTGGTACGGGGCAGATGGAGGAGGTGCTGATGGGCGAGTCATGGGAGGCTGGTATAGGTTGGCGGGGGCTGGTGTTGCTGGCCTGTATTCCACTCTGGCGGGAGCCTTGCTGATGAGACTGTCCAGTTTGCGGGCGTCGGTATACTCATCCGCCAGGCGAGCTGCTTCGTGCAGAGTGGAGGGTTTACGGTCCCTTACCCACTCTCTGACCCCTGTGGGCAATTTGTCAAAACAATGTTCTAAGAGGAACATCTGTAGCACCTCTTCTCCGGACACAGCCTGGCACCCCGCCATCCAGTGGGCGGCTGTGCGATGCACCTTACATGCCCATTCCACATATGAGTCCCCAGAGGTTTTAACCGTGTCTCTGAACCTCCTCCGGTACGCCTCAGGTGTAACAGCATACCGGGAGAGTAAAGCTTCCCTGACGGCCCCATAATCCCCTATCTCCTCATCTGGAATGGCCCGAAAAGCCTCGCTGGCCCGGCCAGATAACTTGCCGGACAGTATAGTAACCCAGTCTTCCAGGGGTACCTTGTGCAGGGCACATTGCCGCTCAAAATCAGCAAGGTACCCATCAATTTCTCCTTCTGTCTCATTGAAGGCTTTAAATGCTGTAAAGGGTACCTTTTTCCTATCTCCCAGGTTTGCTGTGACTGGGGCTGCTGCAGCACCACTTTGGCGTAGCAGGTTGGCCTCCACAGCGGCTATGACCTGGGTGACAGTCTCAGTAGTTGGGTTGGGACCATAATGGGCCAGCCTGATCCTTACCGCCCGGTCGAAGCTTGCCTCCTCGGGGGTTCTGTCAGCTGTGCTGGGTCCATCGGTTCCCTCTGCCGCTGGTACCCCATCCATTTCCAGCAATAATGTAATAATATCCCTCTTCCTGAGGTTACTGGCTTGTCCGCCTCTTTGCTCTAATAAATCCTTTAGGGTAGCTCTCCTCAGGTTTTGATACTGTAATTCCATTTAGTCCCGGTTGTAGTGGTTTCTTTGGGCGCTGAGGATCATCCCGTCGCTTGCCACCAGTTGTTACGGTACCTCCAGGAACGAAATGTACAAACCGCCGTTTAGCGAGTATTCCCTGTTCGCAATAATGTGGTCGGGTAGCGGGTATAATAAAACCAGGCGAACCGCCAGCCAGGGAACACTCCAAACTCCCGAACGGTACCTGTACGGCTAATTCCCTTCGCAAGCCGCAAATCCACGAACGGCAATTAATAACCGAACGACAATATCTCCCAAGCGGCAAATAATCCAAGTAAGCAGTCTCTCGCCGCTGGTATCCAAATCCCCCCAATAACGAGACCAAGCTCCGCTTTGAGGGTAAAACACGAACTGGTTTACTGTGGGCTACCTGCCCGGTATTTATGCAGGTCTCCCACTTGGTGGACACTCCCCTAGGGGACCAAATGGGAGACTGAAATCACAGAGGGACATGGGGACATTCTGGACATACATCCCCACAATATTCCCAGCATGCAGTACAGTTCCCTCCCCTCTGCTCGGGGGATAATTGGGAAGTAATTCAATTATCTCCCCGAGCAGAGGCAATCGCCATTTTAGATACAAGTTACAAAACCACACAAAAATCCATAACTTAATAACTGCTGAACATTTTACATCAGTCTTGCATATCCCCAGATAGCCTGGATCTGAGGGCACATTATTGGAGAATAGCGCTCAGATCCCATTCGCACAGTTCAATCGCCATGGAGTCAAAGTCTCTTTCAGTTCTTCGGTATGAGATTGACTCCATGGGACGGCTATCTGGGTTAAGTCCATTCGTGTGGTTGAATCTCCCGAATGGCTGTCGTTCGCATGCTTTTGTCGATTTGAGAAGGGGAGGTCGACGGCTTCAGCGGTGTTCGGCTGAAAAAGTGTCCGTTTTCCGATCCCTGAAATAATCGTTGAACACCGCTGGTCGTTCGCACGGACAAAATGGCCGCCGCCTCGTGGTCGACATATGAACGACGACCACCCGGCATTCGGTTTTTAATTGAGAAGTGTCTGTGGTTAACCGCAACGTTCTAATTGGGATCAATAGGTTAACCAGCAGCACACTTCTCTTCTGGGTGGCCGTCCGTTCGGTAGTTCCGTTCGACAAAATCGACATTCCCTTAAACAAAGCATACGAACGGGGAAATTCATGAAACGGCAAAACAGACGAACAACGCAGTTATAATCCAGACAGATGGGTCTGTCACAGTGGTCATATCTGTAGTGGGATTTAGTTTGGTTGCCTTTGGGTCGGCGTGGTTACGGGGCGGTGATTGGTGTCTTTTGATGCTATGTGGGACATGGAGCTAGGGGACATCAGAAGGTAAGAAAAACGTAGGGGGTGTAGAACAAACAGTTAGGCAGTACGCCTTAAAGGACTCCTACATAGGGAGCTGAGATGTGCCGGGAGAATCCCGGTCACAGTCGTTGGGGAGTGGGTGTATGAGCCCGGCCGTAATCTGGTGACTCATCCGTGGCTGCAGCAGTGGGGTCACAGCGTTGCAACGTTAATATAGTGGGCGCCTTTCAGGGTTTAACTCAGTGGCGTTCCAAGATGGTGGCCCTAGAGTGTAGCGCCTGTGCCCCAGAGGTCCTGTGAACCAACCCCTGAACCTGTAACTTTGAGCACATATAATTGATAATGTGGGGTATAACAACCAAAGGGGGAACATAAGGAATACATTGGTTAATTCAAACTTACACTCTTGTCATCTTAAGTCTCTGGCGGTATACTCATGGGTTGTTAACCGCTTGCCTCCTTCCGGAGGTAAGAGATATCTGCAGCGTTCAGGTGGTTGACCAGTCTCTTGTTACTCTGGGAGTTTTGTGACGGTGTTGTTTCATCTCCTCTGTGACTTGTATGCCCCAGTCCTTGAGTTTAATGAGCCCCATTTCTGTGTTAAGTATTACGTGCATTTTTTCTTCATGGTGGATCAGTAGTTTGGCCGGGTATCTCCACCTGTAGGCGATGTTCTTCTCTCGCAGGGTGGCTGTGATCTGGGCCAGATTTTTCCTGTACTGCAATGTTTCTGCTGATAAGTCAGCAAAAATTTTGATGTGTCCATACGGGTCCGGCATGCCTGCCGTTCTGCTCACTCCTACGATTTGTTCTTTCACGTGGAAAAAGTGTATGCGTGCGATGACATCCCTTTCTGTGGAAGGCAGCAGGTGTTGCGGCCGTCTGAGGCGGTGCATCCTATCCACTACCATCTGGTCTGGGTGTATTGTTGGGGCGAGCGCTTGGAACATATCTTGGAGGTAGTCACCAAGGCCTGCCGGCAGCACTGTTTCAGTGCTATTTAGGTTTGTTTCGTATTCTTGCACTTTTTCAGCCAGGTAGTTGTGAGCATCTGTGCAGTCATCCAGTTTCTGCTCTATTTGGGCTGTGCACTGGCCTATGTCTGCAACATCTTTCCTTAACTCTGTTGCCAGGCTTTGTAGTTGTTTTTTCATAGTAGCCTGGAAGTTGTCGGCTAGTTCGGCCAGCATGAGCCTCATTGAGGTTGTGGTAAGGGGATACTCCTCTGTTAGGGAGGTGATAGATGTCGCAGGCAAGATGGATCCCTCGCAGGAGCGATCTTCGCCGCCATCTTGGACTGAGCCGCTGGCTTCCCGCGGTTTCTTTGCGGCGGATCTGGCCAGAAAAAAGGTCGCTCGTTCAGCTTTGGCAACTTTTTGTCTCTGCCTCTGGGAAATTGTGGGTCTGGGTATACCTTTATTTTGTGCTTTGCAGTCCGTTTATTTGTTCTTAGTCCCCAATGCTGCAGGAGCCTCACATGCGTGCGTCCATGCCGATCGGGCTCCAAGCCACGCCCCCCATAAATGTATGTTTTAATGTAATTGTGAAGCACTTTGGGCAACAACGTTGCAATTAAATGTGGTATATAAATAAATAAAAGTTGAAATGCATTTCTCACTCTATCAAGCTTGCCATGTGCACTTTTTAAATTTGATCAATCAATTGGTTAGTGTAATGTTTACTATCTTTACTCACTCCAAACACTCCACACAGTTACTCAGTCCAACCTTTCCACAGTTACTCCAGTCACTCCAACCACACAACAGTTACTCAAGCCACTCCACCCAGTTACTCCACCCATTCCAGTTGTAGACTACTGGTGGAGGCAAGAAAACTTCACACAATTTCCCCAGAAATTGTAGCTTTTCTAGTTTTTACTGTACTTATTGGCCCTCTGCAGCACCCCATTTAAGCATGTTCAGGTGAGTGCAGCCAACCCCTTGTTTTCATATATATATATATATATATATATATATATATATTTATATATATATATATATATTAATGAAGGAAATTTCAAAGATTAACTCTCCAGTATACATCTGAAATCGACGTTTCAGCTCCTCTAGGGAGCTTTCATCAGGACATAGATATTCTTAACAATGAAAAAAATGCACTTATATAGGACATGTAATAATAACGTACTCACATTCAGCTGTTGTTCATCAGCTGTTGTTCATTGCCATCCGCCATCGGGAACGCCGTGCCCGTCCATTTGATTCTCAGCTATTTCCTGGTTAGTCATCTGACCAAAGGGGTCATCCTAATAGGCTGAATCTCGCGTCGGCTAGACAACCAAGGATGCTTACGTCCCATTGGAAGAGACTCATTATTACAAATAAATGTTTCAGACAGGCTTAATCTGTCTTCTGAT